TGTTGAATGTTCCTTTTCATTTTATTTCCACAAAAAATTATCTCTGGTAAATTAGCATAAAAAGCAGTGATTAATCTCTCTGCCAGGATTAGAAAATGTGCAAGAGGGCATTGCTTGTTGTCTAACTCCATCATTAGGTCGCACTGACCCTATCCATACAGTGGGAAAGAAAATTCAGAGAGTTACTTCCCATGCTTTTACTGCTTTTCCATTTACTGTTTAAAGAAGAAATTAGTAGGGTTGAGAAATAAGAATTTAAACAGGAAATTAGAGGCCCTGATGAGATATGAAAAAGTTCATTTTTCAAACTGGAAAACAAAACCTGCCTGAAAGTTATTTCTATTTCCAGCTAATTCCAAGGAGATTACATTATTTTCAGTGCATTTGAGATGATTCCTGTCTGTAAGATTGACTCTGTCTGTCCTTTTCAATTAAATTAAAAATGTTTGAAAAATGAGTAAAGTGACAGAGGGTTTGAGAAGATAGTTAAGGTTGTACTTGTTCTGAAGCCTAGAGCAAAGCGAGCTTGATTAGCCACATTCATCACTGTCATTTTAATCTGTGAGAAAACAGTCCCTGATCTATACCAAAAGCAAATCTGTTCCAAGAACTGGAACAAAATGAACAACCAGTAGCATCTGATCCTGTCAGGGAAAACAGTGGCCTCAGTGGGAGAGGGGAAACCTCCTGGCGTCTTGTCCCTGGATCTGTTTCCAATTATACTAAAACAAGGCTCTGCAGATGAGCTGATCTGAAGATTGCCTTGCGATCAGCTCAGCTGTTATTAGCATGCATTTAACCATCATAAATTAGATAGACAGTGCATTTTCCCGTTTGATAACCATTTGCAACAAATTAGGCAGAACATTGCCAATTTGCTGTGAACCTCATCCATGTATCATAGGAGCGGAAGCAGAAGTTTCACATTGTCAAAGCAGAGCTCCTCTGATCTTTAGGAAATAGAGCATTTTTTCACTACCTCCACTACAGTGAATATTTTAAATAAGAGGATAATGTTTGACCCACCATGGCATCACTTTCCCAAGGTGATGGGATTATGTGCTCTCACCAGTCTTAATAAAGTAGTGAAGAGTAGAGACATCACACTGACAACAAACATCCGCATAGTCAAAGCAATGGTATCCCCCCTAGTAACCTACGGATGTGAGAGCTGGACCATAGGGAAGGCTGAGCTAAGGAAGATAAATGCTTTTGAATTGTGGTGTTGGAGGAAAGTTCTGAGAGTGCCTTGGACCACGAGGAGATCCAACCACTCCATACTTCAGGAAATAAAGCCCAACTGCTCATTGGAAGGAAGGATATTAGAGGCAAAGATGAAGTACTTTGGCCACATTATGAGAAGACAGGAAAGCTTAGAGAATACAATTATGCTGGAGGAAATGGAAGGAAAAAAGGAAGAGGGGGCCGATCAAGGGCAAGATGGATGGATGGCATCCTTGAAGTGACTGGATTGACCTTGAAGGAGCTGGGGGTGGTGATGGCTGAAAAGGAGCTCTGGTGTGGGCTGGTCCATCACATGCTGTTAAGGTATGGTTATGCTCTCAGACAGACATGAAGAAAAGTAGTTTCTAAACCAGTGAGACAATTGATCTCTTTCAGGTTATACCACGGTCCTCAAACTTTTTAAACAGAGGGCCAGGTCACAGTCCCTCAAACTGTTGGAGGGCCAAGATTATAATTTGAAAAAAAAGCATGAATGAATTCCTGAGAGGAGACATGATTTGTTGTTGTTCATTCGTTCAGTCGTCTCCGACTCTTCGTGACCTCATGGACCAGCCACACGCCAGAGCTCCCTGTCGGCCGTCACCACCCCCAGCTCCTTCAAGGTCAGTCCAGTCACTTCAAGGATGCCATCCATCCATCTTGCCCTTGGTCGGCCCCTCTTCCTTTTACCTTCCACTTTCGCCAGCATAATTGTCTTCTCTAGGCTTTGCTGTCTCCTCATGATGTGGTCAAAGTACTTCAACTTTGTCTCTAGTATCC